TAGACTCAAATGTCTGGAAAATTACTGTTTTTTAGTAAACACAGAATAAGTGGAGTGGAGGGGAACGTCAATATAAATGGTGCCATAGTTTATGATTCCCAATAGATATTGAGGTAAAATGACCGCTCAGTCCAATCAGCAGATGGATTGTAGTGTTGGCCTAACGGGTGTTAAGGTATGCGATGTGTTTTGAATTGAGAAAAATGCACTTCAATTGAGATCCACATAAACACTGTTGTGATCCCTAAAGACTATATCAGTGTTGAGTACATAAAACACATAAATTTTATAGTAATGAGAGTCCAAATGACAAACCAATGACCAACCATAACATGTAAACACACATCAATTTCTGGTAACTATAATTTGTTAATATACTAAACATATCATTATTATTGTATTGTATATACAGTACACTATTTTATGATCAATACCTTTATTCAACAATAAGTCCGCTGTTTAGGACTCAAACAAATGCCTAACAAATGTTTTGTTGTTTTATGAATACTATTAATGGAAATAAAAAGCTTTACTAAACATAACTGATATGAAAAACTATTGTATTGTTTATGGATTTTATTGAATACATATTACAATAGTTGTACATTTATTAAGCTCTAAGCAATAACATTGTGTAAAAATGATATTATATAAAATATATTATTATTATACTATACTATACTATATTACAAAAAATGTATTGTAAAGGTATAATATACACTGTTTTATTTGAAAAATTATTTTCAAACTAATAGATTTTAATATTATAAATAAAATTTTATTAATAAATTCCATGAATGTAGAAAATTTTGTTTAAATTAAAATTAATTAATCTTTTGAACAAATTTGTAAATAATAATAACAAGAAATTGTTTTTAACAAACATTCTTTAAATTAAATAATTAAAATTCTTTCTATATTTTTATAATTGTTTTGAAAATAATTAAATTTATTATTACTTAGAAATTATTTTAAAATGTTATATAAATTTCGATTGTATATAATTTTGTATATAAACAATCTGTAAAAATACAATAAAAATCATTTTCAAAAATAGTTAAACTTGTGATGATATCTTAAAAAACTAAACTATAGATTTTAGTGATGTAAATTTATAAGCAATATATTATAATATAAAATTTACTATAAATTTATTAAAATTTAATTAGTTTCAATTAATAATTTATTCTAAATATATAATATAAAAACCTAAAGTTTAATTAGATTGCAATAAATTTTGACATTTATTTTAAGGAATTTTAAATTTAACAATTTTCTAACTTTATAGTACAGTAATTTTATACAGTATATAAAATATAAACAAATTCTTAAACATATATCTAATAATCTTTATTTAATATAAATATATTTTTATACTATTAATAGAATTTTAATGTTTTTTTACGTTTAATTTTAGAGGTATTACAAATTTCTCAATTTTAATAGGAAACCAAACACAAAACAAATTAATAATCATGTTTTAAATAAAATGGATTATACATATGTTTTACGTTTAACAATTGATAATTTAACAAATTAGTTGTAAACCTAAAATCACGATTAAGTTTAATATCACACTTTAAAAATATTATTAATTGAAACATTATTTTTTGTATAAATCTATAGTAAAACCAAAAATAGATTATGCAATTAGTTTGTATTGACACACATATGACTGTCATTTAAATTCTGTTATTAAAATCAGTTAAGAATTGCCCGGACTATCACTAACTCGGAAATGACAGCAAATAGCAAACAATTATTTCAAAGACTGGATGGATATCAATAAAAAAATGCTGTAAAATATCAGTCATTGCTATAAATAAGCTATAAATGAATTGTCCGATAATTATTCAAAAGTTTTTAAAAATTATAACAATCAGAGAACAAGTGGTAGATCGGGACGGGATTCACACTATATTAATGTCCCGATTATTACTAAAAATTATGTCAAAAATATAATATTTTGGAAAGAAGTCAAATATGTAATGATTTACCATTAGATGTAAGAAAAAAATTAAAGCAATATATTAATCAAATAAATAAATAAAACTTATTTTAATAATATTTTATTATATCTTTTTTATGTAATTTTAATTATAGTTTATTGCTTTTTATTATATTTATGGCATTTAATGTATACCAGTTTTTTTACTGAATGAGTTGCCAATAAAAAGATATTATTATTATTAAAATACAAAATTGCAAATCAAAAAATAAATAAATAAAATATCTATTGATTTAACTAAAGTTTTTAATAAAAATAATATCGAAAACCTGTACACTATAAGACAACTATATTTTTTATAAACTAAAATACTATATTATTTTGATTAAAATAATATTGAGTTAGCAGTTATTTATATTTTTAAATAAGTTATGATTCAATAAATTTTATATAATAATAAAAATTATGTTTATTTTTATTATTGACTGATTGATTGAATTGTTAGCATTTTCTGTTTACAATCAAATTTTTATAATGAAATTGATAGCAAATAATGAAATTTATGTACAATAGTATACTTTATATAATATACAGTATTTTACAATACAAGTTATATAAAGCATATACTGTACTGAATATACTGTAATCTATAATAACAACACAAATATTTTAGTTTTTGTTTTGGAGTTAAGTCATGCTCTTATGATTTATGTCTTGTTTTGACATTTTATAAATTGAAATATTTTGCATAAGAAATAATTTAATATTATATTTATATATTTTGTAAGTATTATTATATATTTAATTAAAGCTGAATTCTATAAACATATAATAAATATATTAATTTATTGAGTTTAATAATTAAAATTTGATTATAAATAGATTAGTATATGTACTATGAATTATGCACATAAATTATTTTTACTTTATATTATACTTTATATATTTATTAAATATAACAAATATTTATCAGACATGAACTTAATTTTTAAATTATTTATAAAATTATATTAATAGTACTAATATAATACTACAGATAATATTTCATGTAATGCCTGAAATAATAATGCCATAATATTTATAATAATAATACTTTTAGTTAACGAATATAATTATATTTATATTAACCTATTATATATAAATTTCATATTATTTGTCGCATCGTATAAAACTTAGCTTATTTTTAAATAAATAATTATTTAATACTAAATTCATAAATAATTTAAATGTTTTAAAATCCTTTATGTATTTTTTTAGAAAAAAAAGTTTTCATAGTATTTAAGTATATAATGCAATTTTATTAATAATTTATCACATTAATTTAAAAATAAATATTTTTTTAAAAAAGTGTTAATCTTTGATACATTATTATAATATTTTGTTATATAACATCTATAAAATTTTATGTTAAACATTTAATAAATTATTTTTTATAGTAATATTTTTCATGTTTTTACATATTTTTTTATGTATACAATATTTTATATAAAAAATTCATATTAAGCACAATAACCTCACACAATATATTTATTGAATTTTTCAATTTTTAATGTCATATCATATAAAAATGATGAATAAATATCAGTGTTTTGTATACAGTGTGTTGTGTCGGATGGTTGGGACTGTTTGAAGAACAATAGATTGTGAATATGCCATACATTTAACAACATTTATCTGATGATTATGTTATTATAAAAACACATAAATGTAATTTATTTACTCCAAAAAATTATAACAAAAATTTGTTTTCATAAATATCACTTTCATACAGTATTTATACATTAAAGTGAATTGTGTTTATTATGTGTATTAAGTTGAAAGCCATAAGAAATGTCATCTATTTTTATATAGAATTTTATTTATGCGACAAATTTTTCTCACTTCTTATTATTATATTTTTAGGTCAAATATATATATATATATATATATATATATATATATATATATTACTGAATATACATTAGTGTATTTGTTGCTATATATTGTACAGTATATAAACATTGAGTAACAAAATAGACGGCATTTGTTTTTGAGAATAACAACTTTGAAACTATGGTTTGTATATATTAATTGGTTTATTGATTAATTTCAATGGCACAGGTATGTCAAATAGTGAGAAATAATATCCAAAAATGATATATTATATTATTAATACTAAATGATACTTTTTAAAAATTATTGGATAAGTGTTTTGATAATAATAAATAATTTTTATAAAAGTGGTAATTAACAAATTTTACATTAAAACTATATATAATATATATAACGTGTAATATATGCAACGATATATAATAAAAATGTCAAAGTATATTATTTTTTGTTATTTTTAATAAATTTTATATATAAATAATTAGTACTGTATTTTAGATTATTAATAAATTAAAACAAACTAAAATCAATTAATAATTTGTTCTATATTAAAAAATATAAAAAAAATTTAATTAATTAAAAATGTTATGAATCGGCATTTTGAAAATACTTATACGATAAAAAGTTATAGTTGTCATTGAAATATTTTTTTTAATTAATTTTATTTTTGAGATGTTATTCACCAAAAAACCATTTCTTTCTATTTTGTTATCATATTATATATAAATATATATTATTTATAATCGTCGCAAAAATTTATTATCGTTTAATTTATGTTACACTTTAATTGTATGAAATTTTTTTCTCAATAGTCAACAAAAACTTATATATTGTATGTTTGTAAGCCAACAGTTGAGATAAATTATTGGTCACTACTTTCTACCGGTGCTTTCATTTCCATTTAGATCTCATTCATTATTATCATACTTTATATACAGTATATAAAAGTTATACTGTACTATATATAATTGATTTTGTTTTATATAAGATTCTTGAATTTGATGTTATAAAGTATAATATATTATATAAAGCAATAATATGTTGGCAAATATTTTTTGATATAATATGAAACTGTTATCATTATTTATATTTAGTAAATGTTAGGCTATCTTCACCTTCAATGAAGCACTTATATGATAGCATTAAACAAATTGAATATTTGAAAAATTTTGACTTTTAATAGACTTGATTGCCGTTCACATCATTTCCGACAAATGTTTTCCTTTGCCTCACAATAACTGGAAGTTTGAGTCAATGTTTGTCACAATAAATCTTTTCATTGAATCTGGAGTTTCATCAGATTTGCTGTAATAGAGTCGGCATTTGATTGATTAAAAACTTTGTTTCAATATATTGTTGTTGTTTTTTAAAATATGTTGTACTTATGTCGTAAAAAATAAATTATATTTTATATAATTTTACAAGAGTTTTAAAGCTACAGTATTTTACAAAATAATTTTTTATAAAATTTATTTTTTTTATATTATTTTAGTATTTTTAGCAAATTATACAGTAGTATTGATAAAATCATCAAATATAAAAATTAATAAATTTAGTTATTAAATGTAATTTATAATATTTGTTATTTATAAAAGTAAGTATTATTTAGTAAATTTTTGTGAAAAGAAATATCTTTACGGAAATAATTATTGAGTTAATAAATTTGATTTCAAGTAAAACCCATAATAAGTAAACATAACTTAATGTTGAATTGAATGAGAAAATATCGATATAAGTGAACAAAAGCTCTCATTTCTTAATACTGGTCTATAGTTATGTCGATAAGATAGTGGCAAAAGAAGTTTGATATTATTAAAGTAGACATAAAAGTTATATTAAATATGATATACGGTATATTAGGATAGAGTTAGTATGCCATACATACAATTGTCTTACAGTTAGTCTCATTGTGTTTGAATCTCCAGGAGCCGAGTGACTCAATCTACTGTATGTGTGCTTTCAATCAATAAAAGGCACTTTTGTGACGGCAAAGGCTGAGAACAGTTGATATTGTTTGCCATCGTTTTTACACCAATTGGACACATCTCTCACTATTTTCATCATTTGTTATATATCTTTGCCTTTTAGTTAGCGCTCTATTCACGCATTCATTCAAACATTAATTCATTCATTTATTTTAGTTTATTGTCTTTCCTTTACTTTTTTTTTGTTTATATATAGCATATACAGTATATATATAGAGATAGATAGATAAACAGACAATATATTATATATATATAAGTCTTAATACACTCTTTCATACACTTTATTTACAGCTGTTTGACTCAATTTTGTAGTCAAAAGAGGAACTGATAGACAACGGCAATCATTTGAGCAATTATTTTGATAAAAGTATAACAAATACAATCAAACTTTTTGTTGTCTATTTGTCTGTTATGTTGTATAACTTAAATTAAAATACATTATTGTGATAGTATGGCACATATGAACGGGTGATCTCTAATGGCATACCATTATTGTCAGTATATTGGATGCGATGGCAGTCGTGTACTGTCCTAAAGTTGAGTTCAGTGGCCATTCGCGGGTATTCCGGGTATTCCATGTAATCAGACTCGTGTTGATTATATTGACTATTATTTGAGCTGTGATTTGATTGGTTTAGCCTTAAGCGGCGTTTACCTTGAAATCTATAGATTGTTATCACAATTAAGATAATCAGTAGACTTGAGATGACCAGCAAACTAATGGCCACAACATATAGTGTGGGAAACTTATTACAAAATTGTGGATTTTCATCATAACTGGAGGGACAGTGAGATATGCCGTCACATAAAAGTTCATCACTAATGCAGGCATTAATCTCCGGGCACTCGACTTTACAGTTGATGTTTCGCATTGTTTTTCCCGTTTGAGTCCTAAGAAATGGTTTGATTACTTCAAGCCATCGCATACTAAATGATCCAAATTCTGTGGCTATTATCTCAACAAAGACTCTGCTCTCAGAGTAATTGTTGTATAGATTATTGGCAGTAAATGTTGTGAAACTGTCCGTTTGGTTGTACCAGGAGGTGGAAAATAGGTCAAACTCTTCCACTTGATTGCCATCAGTGTTAGCGTTGGCGGCACTGTTAGCTCGATTGGTACAGACCGTTGCAATTGCATGTCTCGGTTCACCCGTATATACAACAAATCGGTTTGAATCGAGACACTCATCGTTTCTATGTTTGAAAACAAACAAAAAAAAAAAGAAAATATAAAAACACATAAATAATTGTCAAAATAAATCGCTTCAAAAACAAATAATATTCAATAGATATGACATTTCCATAAATTATTGCCTAAAATATATCCGCAAATTTCGATTGCAAACACACACACAATACATGCATTGTATGGTAATAGTTATGTGTTGATGAAAATGGGCTTTTATTTTAAGGCATAAATAAAATGTTAAATATATAGTTTATATATTAATATATGATTTAAGGCATCGACAAACAGCAACAACTAACTATACTTGAAATATAACAATACGGTAACAATAACAACTAAAAACATCTGAAAACAACTAAAAACAATATAACACTTAAACTAAATGTTTTGACATTAAATCAATAGTTGTAAAAAAGTAAGAGAAAAAACAATTTAGAAAACGATTGTTTAATAAATGATTGAAAAGGCAGTGAAAAGTGATAACAACTAACTCAGTGACAGCCAAATGGCCTTTAAATTTGAGGAACAAATGTTTGCCAAACGAGGCCTCAATAATCCATCTGCACTTAAGTGGTCCGTCACGTATGATATTATATGTTTGAGGCACTGAATATTGAAGATCTCCTTCACTGCCATTCCTCCTCTGAACCAAACCCCCGGAGTTGCAGTCATAAGACGGCAAATATTCAAACGACGCCTCAAAGCCATAGTCATTGAAGTCTTCAAAGGGTGACATTCGGGTCACAGAAAAATTGACAAAAATATCAGATGAGAGCAAATCAAACACTATGTGTTGGTTGGGTTGTTGTTGTTGTTTGTAACGACTGGTGTCCATCACTGACTGAGATTTACTCTGAAGCATAAGATTGCAAAGACATCCAACTTTGATGCGTTTGGACGACATGTTGTCATACACAGTAAGAAGAGCCACTTTTGGACTGTAATTGTTATTTTGAAAGACACGGCACTCATATTGATTAGTTAAGGGATCAAAAATCTGTTCACAAGACAAGGATTGCATACGAATCGTGTGAAGTATGATTCGCACCCTTTGTTTAGTGGTTCCCTTAAAGTAATAATTACAAGATATGTTTTCCCGACCCCCTCTACCAAACAGAAAGAGGTTTTTTGGTGAACCAAAAGTTCCCTTAAAATATTTACCCTCACTATTGAAAAGTCGATCACAGAGTTGATCATCAATAGGTTGTCCCAATTGACGAGTATCTATAAACTCAAATCTGGCCGCAAATGAGGCCCGTTTGACATAAAAGTCATAGTATTTGTAATATTCGTGTTTAATGGTGAGCTCAGAGCCGTAGGATAAGTAACTTTCATTAGGATATGTACACGGATTATATGGTAGATAATGGTTGGCATCAGCCGCTCGGCCGCAGATCTTTGGAGACGTTTTCTCACAATAACTGTAATGTTTGTGCTTTTTATTTGTTTGATGCACTTTAATGGTGTCATTAATGGGATGACTGCTAATCATAGAGTCATAAATCTCAAGTTTGCTAACATCACAGAACTCTTCACTTGACCAATGATGTCGGTCTTGAATGAAATAAGACATGAAGTAAATCCAAATGCGATCCCAAGTGTTTGGTGAAACTAACTTATAAGTACACGTAGTATTTGCTGGTATTGAGTGCTTTGGTATCTCTATTAGTCCGCTTCTAATCTTAGAGCCGTCAAAGACAAAGTCACAGATACCGGTGCGCTCACCACTAATGGCCGAGTCGTGCACTTTCTCTAATTTAAGTGCAACGTTCAGCTCTAGTCTTGAGTTATGCAATATTTGATTGGAGGCACTCCTCAACACTACTAACATTTCCGGTCGACTCGTTATTATTGAAGGCAACACTCCTGACCCACAAAATTCAATCAAAACAGGAGATTCAGTCGTTAAGCCGTCATATATGCGGATGACATCCGATGGACAGTCTGATTGCAGTGATGTCGATGTCAAGTGATCGTTGGATTGACTGCTACTAAAGCCAGTGTATAGCGATATCTTATATTCATTATTCTGTATTATAAAATCAAATGTTTTACACAAATTTCAATGAATGTCAATAACGGTATATTCAATATATATAAAGTATATGTAATAAAAATGTTGAATTAAATCAAACCTGTGATATAACAATTTTAGCCCTATATCCGGGAGGAATGGGAGCGTAATGTGTAATATAGTATTTGCATGTAATGTTTCTGTTGTAAAATCCGGGCCAATTGGGACTCCGGATTTTGCACTTCTTGTTGGCCGAACAGTCGTCAAACATATAATCACAATATGTTTCCTTTATTTTTGAGCCCAATTCATAGGGATCACCTATTTTTCATATAAGCAAAAAACAAAATCATACAAATCTATATATAAAAACATTAACTATTATGAAATATATATTATGCCAAACAAATCATCAATTTTTTATATTTCAATCACATTAAAAGTAAGCGTATCTATAAATTTATATTTTATGAAAACTTTGTTTTTTCAGCACTACTACTACTACTACTACTACTACTACCGATCTGTTTGTCTGTCTTTCCCATAAATTATACAACAAATACAAGTAGCGTATGTACTCTATAATCTTATGAGTCATGTTTTTTCTCCCTGTGTTTTGTCTACACTATAAAATTATGAAACATTTGTTTTAAAAATAAAAAATCATGAATTATGACCCATAAAAATTCAATATTTATACCAAAACAATGGTTTTATATTTATGAAACATATTGTATAAAAAATTGTATAATTTATACATTAACCATAAAATGATGACTTACTCGGCGGTCCAAACCGTGTTATGGCTGGTCGTAAGGGCAGGAATTTGTACGTTAAATATAGGCTAAATGAGTTGACGACAACCGATGCCCGACTGGGAACGTATATAACAAGACTAACGTTATTGCCTTCACTAAAATAGGTTGCACTCCGAACCTAAAATGACATATAAATAAAAATCGATAATAGGTTTGAGTTTAATACAGTTATAGAAAAACACAACATATTTATCTGTTCCCTTAAATTAGCGTCAAAACTAATATAACTAATTATATATATGTATATAAAAGTGAATTCCTTACCGTCATTTGTCCACAAAACCTGCCAAACTGTGGTAGGTCTGAGCTGTCAATACTTGAGCTTATTATCTGTTTTGTGGTAAACTCGTCGACGTCCTCATCAAGCGTTAGCTTATAGTCACGACTAGATTGTACTCTAAAGTCTCTCGATGTCGACAACGACTGTGAGAATCGGTATTTAGTTTGAGTCAGTTGTGAGGTATCGTTGAGCTCTTCTATTATTACATGACCTGAATAACAGCCGGCGCTTTGATTTCTAATCAAATCAAAATTCAATCAAATAATAGAAAACAAATGATTAACTGAATATCCTATCGATTGCAATGCAATACATTGTTATATATTGTATATAACAATAAAGAAATAATAGACAAAAAAGAGACAAAAAACAAAACATAATTCAATTTTCATTTCAGTTAATCGATAAAACATTTCTCTGTATATTGTATTTTTGGACACTTTTATAGCTATTTTATTTGTATTTGTCTTCCCATTATAGCCAAATCAATTAGATAGATGGTTACAAATGATAGAAAAATTAATTTCTAAAAAAAACTATCAAAAGATTTAATATTATTTACTTTATACTTAAACTTTAATACTTAAAATACTGTATGTTATACACTGTATACAGTATATGCTTTAACTTAAGGGTCTTAAGCAACAAATTATTATATCTAAATGTTATTTTTAGAGTACTATATATATAAATATCTCAAAATCTTTAAAATTTTATTTTTTTGGTGTTAAAAGGAAAGTGAAATAAAATAAAAAATTAAAGCAGACATCCATTGATAGCACTCAAGTCACACATTTATATAAACTTCACTTCATATTTCACAACTACTCGTATATCATCTCCTCTTTCAATACAAATAACATTTTTTTTATATATTTAAGACACTTTTTCCTTCATTGCAAACCAGAAAAATGAAAATAAATTTAAAATCCATTGAATTGTCAAATATATGTATAAAATATATCATTGAATGTAAATCTTGTGTAATAAAAGGTTTTCTTCATGAAAAATATTGTATTATTTGTGTTGTATTTCTCGATGCAAATTAAATTGTGAAATGAAATTCAAGAGACCTTAAACTCAATGCTTATATTTACTTATATTATATTATATATAATATAGTGTTAAGATCTACAATGCGATGTCATATTAAAGTAATGGATGCTAACCATCACTAAAAGTATCATTTTGTATATAATGATATCAAATTGCACTAACAAATGAACATGGACAGTTTATTTGCTAACATATACTATATATAATGAACTATGTATAAGTATTGATAAATGTTATGATAAAACATAAAATATTTACAAACATTAATGTTAGTGCATAACTCATATTATATACCAAATATAATAATTAATATGAATTATTGATTTGAAAGCCAGAGAAATTTAAATGTGTTTGTAATTGGTTTATATTAAGTTATATTATATCATATAAGTTATATTTTTCGCATTACTCTCTTAACGTTAAGTCAATGAACTTCTCATTTTGTTGGCTTTCATTATATTTTAGGCTATATATTGTTTTTGTCACACATAGGCATCAGATTAGATTGAAATTAATAAAATGTGTAGAAAAACAAAGTAATATTTAAGTTACAGTTTAGTTGCAATGTATTTAGTTAGTGGAGCTTATAATGAATAACAATATTTGTTAAATGCATTTACTGTGTGTTTAATATAATGACAAAAAGGATTAATTATATACAGAGTTTTTGTATCAATTGTGTCCATTATATGACCGGATAATAGYATATATATAAAGTATTTGACGGTTTTTTGTCATTTTGTCGTTCAACTCATTTCTCGTTTCTCAACAAACATTGCCAGAGATAGCGTCCAATCAATTAAATATTGACTCGTATTCACTAACGAAACCCAAAGTAGACAACAGTTTCAGATGAGAGACCCGATTGACAACTAATCCTCAAATTTGTTTCACTCGCCATTCACACCATAATTGCAATCCAATGTCTGATTAATTTTTGATGAAAATTATATTATATTATATTAATCCAATTAACTCTGTGTTTAAATGCATTACGATTGTGTTTTTACTCTATTTTTATTCAAATAAAATTACTTTTAAACAACATTTTGCATAAAAGCAATTTAGAGTATATTTAATTTTGCTATTTTATAAACAAAAATTATATAACAATTTTCTGTAATAAATGGCAAATTAAGCTCTTATTGCATAACAAAATATAATTAAATTAGTTTTTGTTTGTTTTATTAAAGTTGCAAGTATTATATACTGAAAAAAAGTTTATTATTTTATTTTTATTAAACTAAAACATTTTATTTCCTAAATTCTTAATCTTTATTAATAATAAAAACATTAAATTTCATAAAAATTAATTTTGTTTTTTTCGAAATCATTAAAAATTATTTTTATTGATTTTATACTAATAGTTTAAAAGTATCTCTATATTATGCATTATAAATTAAAGTATACAATTATAATTATTTATATTGATATTATACATAGTATGTACAGTATTACATACAATAATGATTATCAATTTATGAAGATATTAAATATATAATAATGTAATATTTATTTGTTACTTATTTCATCATTTAATGCTTATATTAAATTGAATTAATTGTCAAATCTAATGGAATAATCTTTTTAGACAAATCTAAGATAAATTAAATTAATATCATAATAATCTTTAGTGATATATAATATTTTACCAGATTTTCATTTCATTGATGTTTTCAAATAATTTTTATCATATTTCTTAATCTTAAGATTAGAGTTATATCATTACAAATAAAACATTGCTGTAATAGATTAGAGTCAATCAAATAATATTTTGTATTTTGATTATACGCCTAAAAAAGTACACAAATAGATATCAATTTAGTGATTAAATTTATATTAAATAATATTAAAAATAAATATCAGTGAGAAAGGCGTAACTTTTATCAATGTTTGCAAACTCTTATTGTTTGAAAAGTACTGTACAATCTTATATATATATATATATACAGTATTATGTGATATAATGTTATAAAGTGTGATATCGAGACACTTGATGTGGAAAGATAGCAATATATTTGACCTGAAAATGACACATAACTTTGAAATTACATCAATACTTAAAAGATATGAAATGCCATTAAAGAAAGTGTTGGTCTAATAATATTTGTGTTTCACAATTGGTATGCATTGAAACACAATTGATATATATTTAAACACAATTGGTATACATTTAAACACAATTGGTATACATTTAAACACAATTGCAATTTTTAGTGAGTTGTGCCCAAAGTTTTGACAGTATTAGGCGTTTGTTTGAGCACTTCATTGATTTTCATTGAGTATATCAAGTCTAGTGAAGAGTTGTTGTGTTTATGTACTTATATATTGTGCTCAACAAAGACTAAGTTAAATGTTGTATAATAATTGCAACTTAAGAGCCAATACACAACCATTTGCTAGACTTTATTGTGAAGTCAATTCAAATCTGGTTTCTTTGATACTGTTTTTTATTGCATTCACTCCTTTTAATAGCCATTGTATGAAATGAGTTGAACTCCAGTCCCATCTCAGTCAACGACTACTCACTTCAATAATATATAGTTATAGTTAACAAACAAAACAATTCAATTTATTTCAATGTCTTCATATTATTCAATGAAACAAATAGATAAAAACAATCGTCAAAAAACTTATTTATTGGTATCAAAACAAAAGTCATAAAAAAGTTTGCTAATTATAAAACTTGACGCCAAACATAAAAAAGTAATAAAACAAATGTTTGCAAACAGTAGTAGTATTAGTCTGAGACAAGAAAGCTATCGATTAACTATTTTCTGTAAATTAATTATTCATTTATACGGTATATAAAACACTACATTTGCCTTTTAATATAAATCCATTTGTCTTAATTAGAAATATTTTTAACAAATTACTTATTCAGTCAAATATGATATGTACTTATAACTGAAATAATAGATTATGTAAATAAAGATATTCAGTGTGTTTGTATGTATGTGTGTGTGTGTGTGTGTGTGTGTGAGAGAGAGAGAGAGAGAGAGAGAGAGAGAAAGAGAGACTATAATTAATGAATCATTTTTTCCCTTTATACTAATTTATGTTTTATGTTAAAATTATATACAGTATACTTAATATAGTATTTATAATATATACAGTATCATTCAAGTTTAATCATTAAAAAACTATGTATTTAATAATAATTATAAATACGGTATTTTAGTATTATCATTATGTATAATATTGTATAATAATATTAAATGAATAATTATATTGCAATAACAATGTAATAATTACAATGTGTGCTTAATTAGTGATATTGTCGTCTATTAAACATAGCTCTCTAAGACTCGACATAACAATATATGTCGAAAACAGATATTGTTTGAAGTATACAAACTTTGGGTCATATATTGCAATAACGGCACAGATATATGTCGTTATAGTCATGAGACGCGCACTGGTTATTGTAGTTAAGCCATACAACTATAAACTCAGTAATTGTATGGTATGATCAACATTATAATGATTACTATACAAAATTGCAAACAGACAGACATTTTATGATCATTGGCCACAAATTGCATTTTCTATGCACTATCCTCTCTAATGACACCACTCTTAGTAGACAACAGTAGTTCCCAATAAATGGCAATAAATTTCATGACATGATTTCAATGTTGAGTTAGTCATGCATTTTAATAGATTTGGATAAAAATATCCAAAATATAATCAAAAAGTAAAAATTATCTAATTATCTGATGAATACTTCAATATATATATCATATTATATTTAATTGTTTCTCTTTCTATTCTTTTTGTTCCTATAAATAATTATTAACTTTTAAATATTTTTCATTAAAAAATAATTTTCTCATTTAATAATTAACTTTCTCTCTCATAAATACATTAAAATTAATAAATTATTATTAAATTAATGTTTTTTTGCAAACAAGTGAATAAAAGATTAAATGACAAGTAATTAGATTTGCATTTTTTTAAACACCAAAAACAAAATTTATATTATATTAAGGAAATGTTATTAGCAATTTTAATAGTAAATCATATGTTATTGAATGTAATCATTTAAACGGTTAGCAAATATAATATATTGAATTCAAAAAAGCAAACGAAATATAAAAACAAGAGATTTTTTGGTGAATTTAATGATTTTGAGTGCTTTTTACAAAATTTATATCAAACTCATTACTCTAAATCACGTTTACATTATATGTTTGGCTAAATTTCTTAAACCATTATCATTTAAAACATTAAATTCATAGACTATATATATATATATATATATTATCTTTATTACAAAAAATTGTAAAATATTGTTCATATTTTTATTGTTTATTCATTTATTTATGGGTACAATCTAAGTGATAAATGTTAATCAATAAAAAAGTATAACATTGACTTTGATAGCATTATATTAATCCAAAGTTTACTCAAATTTATTGGTTTGAGTCTATCTCTCAGCTTAATAACCAAAATAAAATTATATTAAATGAAATAATATATATATATATATATATATATAATTTATATTATATAATATATATATAATATTTAGAGTTTAATTTTAAAATGCAATAAAATGTCCCGAAAGTAATTTAAACAATAAATACAGTTATTATATGCATGTATGGTATGACTGGTGTAGGGATATGTCATCTAATAATGCATTAATGAAATGGAAGTAAAACTACTGTAAATCAAATGAATTAGTGGTTCACATGTTATATATGTTATAGAGTTCTAAACTTTCAATGCATTCAATCTCTCCAATGAATACTTGGATTCTCAATATATTTGTAGTCAATGTGTGACTCACTCTTCACTGCACAACAACAGTAATATTACAGTCATATAGTATATGGACTGTTGTGTTGTCGGCCCTAAAACTACTTCCAATGTTAGGGATTACTATTGTTGTATGGGATTAAAGTTTACACAAAACTCAATCTAATACAAAGTTAGTCACTGTTGTTACCAATCATTTGATACACTTATAGTAACGTTTGGTAATTTACATTCTGTTGACATTTCTAACAGAATATTCTTTAAAATATATTACATTTGATAGCACCGACCAATTTTAAAGCACATTTCTCGTAGGCTATATTTGAACATTTATATTTCGGTAGACTATTATATACATGTACACTATTTTTCAATTGATTAAAAGATAAATAATTTTTTTTATATCATTTATAATTCAAGATCGTAATAATCGTAAATATGTTTATAAATCATAACATAAATGATATATGACTTTTTATTGTATTATATGTAAGAATATTGCATTATATGATAAAGTTTGGAAATTTTAATTTTTTGAAAATAAGATTATATTTATAATGAAATATTTTTTAATGTATATTATAAAATATGTATTACTAGAATCATATAATATCATATATAATTAATTAATTTCATGAATAATACAGTTATTATTTTTATTCAGCTTAAATGAAACACTATATTATATAAATATAATAAGTATATTATATTTACTGAATTATATTCTGTCATAGATAAGCATTAAATAATAATAATATCTATAATAATAGGATTACATAATAAATACATTTTCTCGATTAGATTTGATTGAATTATTGTCTTTTAATATAACAATAAATAAAATGAACAGATTTTTGTATTAAATCTTATTTAATATCAATTGTATTGAATTCAAACATATTTTGTGTTTTAATATATCGCCAATAAATATAATATTGTATTGAACTGCGGACACAATTAAATATCCTTTTTTACACAACTTGTTGTTGCAATAAATGCTAAACTAATGCTTTATCAATGATTTACTTCTCTATCGATACAATACTGTGTCAAATGCCAACCCATGACATCCCTTCAAGAATTTAATTAACAAAACAGAATTCAATTAAGAAGCTATTCATTAGGGATTCAATTGGTAATCAAAATTTTGTTAATAAATCAATTGTATTTATTTTTGTTTTTCAATATTCAACTAAAATAAATCACATTAACTCAAGTCAAATGTTCTCAAAAATGATAAGCATTTTAATTAAATTTAATGTCTATTGACAAATAATTTATTTAAAAATTAATTCTTAAAAATTTATTCAAATGATTAAAATAACAATAATAATAAAACTATAACAAAATTTTTATGTAAAACAAGTGATAAATTTTTCAACTAAATGATCATATTATGATAATATGTTGACAAAACATTGCAAAATATTAGTTTTGTAAAAAAATGTTGACTCAATTTATTTATTTAAAACAAATATATTCCTTTTATTTTTAAATAGATTTGCATAAAAATATCTTATTTTCAAAAGCAAGAAAAAAACAATTCAAATAATAGTATATAAAATATTTAATATATGAAAAACAGTTTATTAGATAGAATTATAATTATAAACTTAAACATTATATGTGCAACAATTAGTGAGTTTAAGTTATTTTTTAAATGAGATGTGTTTTTATAATAATTGTTATATAATATAAGTTGTTTTTTTCATTAAATGTAAACGAGAAACTTATTATTAGTTAAATTACAATAGTTTTACGCCTCATATAATCATAGCATTTAGAGAAATGAACTCAAAATTCTTATATATATATATTAATCGCTCAATTAATGTAATTATTTTGCAAAATTTACGCCAACTTGTGCTTAATTATACGCTAGAGCTTTGAATTTACACGAAAAATAGATAAAAATATTTGACAATTAATTGTTTTCATAAATATGTTAAAATAATATAAAATGTTTATAAAATTTATTTTATAAATAAATAATTTAAGAGTTAATATTATTTGATTTTATTTTGTTACACACATTTCAAAAATAAACACTTTATAATAGTATAAATAGATTATCATTAATACGAAAGAGTAATGCAATAATAAAAATCAATTGTATGTGTGTTTTGATGGTATCATACAGTAATTGATAGCAAACTCTGAATTCAGTGTCATATATAAAGGCAAAAATTGCACAAAAAAGCAACAAAAAAGTGTCGTTATGTGCGATATTTTTTTGACAAATGGTTAGCTATATCGATGCAATGTACATAAAAAGTGGTCATCTATGGTATATGTATTTTGAATGACTTACTTTCCCACTTCAAACTGTCCAATTTGAAACGATAGGAACGTTAGTTCAATGATATCTCCAAACTGATGGCCGGCCGCCGCAAATGTCACGCGACAAACAAATGGCTGAAACCGCTGAAAGGGTTCGTTTAGTCGGAACGGATATTTGTGACCCACCTCTCCATATAGGGTTCGGTTGCAATCTATTATATGAAACAATAAATAAAAAATGACATTTTATTTTCACCCGTTTTATAGCAATTATATTGAATGGTATTAGAGAGAAGGCCTGACGTTAAATATACAGTGAAAGAGATAAAACATTATAGTGTTATGTAATTGCGTGCAAATAGCTATCAAAACATTATACATAGTTTATAATACAAGTGATAACTGAGTGCAACATTTAATTGATTGATGACTTGATAGCACTTCACAAGTGATATAAAGAATCATTAAATTCAAGAATAATAATGAGTTTCTTTGAAATCTTAATAACTATTTATAAACATAAATAATTGTTTACTAAATGCTATATTTTTATATGTGATAACAAAAATAATTATATATGAGTTATAATATTGATATGATATCATTAAAAGCTATGTTATGATATAAGTTAAACTAATTTTGTTTAGCCATTAGTGTTATTATATAAACGAAAAGTAAATGAGAGAAGTATTGAATGAAACGAAAGAGCAATTTGTTGTCGACTTTCACTCATTTACTGCTTCTATGGCTTAATATAAAAGCACTAAACATGTGATGAAAAGTCAGGAAATCAACTAAATTTGGCTCATATTTGATATGTGTTGAGAAAACCCATTGACATTAATAGGGCGTAAAGGGAATGATAGGTCAGACATGGTTTTGTTGAAAGGGTTATAAATATAGTGGACAACAACATACTGGTGCAGGCAATGGGTTCATCGCTTTGGTCGCCGCAGTCATCACTGCCATCACAATAACGGCTTAAAGTCACGCACTTTCCGTTATCGCACTGAAACTCAAGCAAACTCTTGCATTGCTGTTGTTGTGGTTGTTGTTGAGCTGATGGTACCAATGGTGATGATGATTGAGATGATACTTGAGTAACATTTACTGCTCTATTATCAAGCAATGAGCTTCTCATACTCCATATCCCATTCCTCTGGGGCTCACTATTAAATATTATATAATATTATATGATATACCATTTGATATAATAAATAAATATTGTCTTTCATTGTTGATATCATTGTTGGCAACAAATAAACAAACAAATGGTTAGTGTTATTACCTGTCATTTGTTGAGAAAGTTGATGATAATGACAGCGATGCCAGTGATGCCAACACTGCCAACACTAGACATTTGTCTACAAATGCCAGTACAGTATTGGATGGTTGGATCAGTTTGGATGAAGATATACTTAAACAAATAGAGGAACACATGAGTCATAGTTTTAAAATCATTTAAAGCCATCAAATGATCAAAGAGTCGATCAGTTATATAACACAACTAAACTGTAACTAAGCTCTCACTTAATGGTATTACTATTTATATATGGATTGCAATGAATGTGACACACAATGCGCGGTCGGCTCTTATCGGCGATGCGTTCAATGTTTCGGTGCGCCACCAATGCTTCAGATGCGCACCGGGAGTATCGGGTGCGCACTCTAAACCATACCCGTTAAGGACTCTTTATTTGTTATTATTTATTAGATTATTATTATCTTAAAAATAAATTTAATAATTAATGTAAATACTGTATAAATATATATAAATAAATATATAAAATTAGTCTATAATTCTTATTAACAATGCTAAAGCTTAAGTAAATAAATTACACTAATTTTATCAAATTAGTACAAAAATAATTAATAAAAATATATAGAAATAATTTTAAAAATTAATAAGTGATTAATTATTTATATTATAACCCCTGTAACTGTATATACAGAATATGTAAAATTATATTTATATTATACAATACATATGTGATATTAATAAATCAATAAATTTTGTAAGCACTGCATCGCAATAATATTTTAAAATCATAATTACTTTGAATAACTTAAAACATTAATATTTTATTTTTAAAAATTTTATAAATATAAAGAATTAAAAGCTTATTAAAAATATTTTTTTAATTATTTGTTAAAAAGAGAAGAAATAATTAGAATTTGTGAAAACATTTCTATATTTTATTCATATAAATAAAAATTTAACGTATGTTTTAAACATATTTTATATGACAAAAATAGTTGAATTCGATAATATTTATATATTCAATGATAAAGTTTTGTATTAAATAATATATATAAAAACACACACACATATATATAATATAATTTCAATACTAACTTTTATAATTTTTTATGATTATATTTCATTCAATTAAAGCAGCATTTTTAATTATATTAAATATTTGTTTTTAACACACTATTTAATATATGTATATATACAATATAAAGCTTTATATTAAATAATGTAATGTATATTAAATAATATAAAGGTATATAAATGTTTATATAACTGTTATTTATTAATTAAAAATAATACTATATGCTATACTGTATATTAAAATTTTTTAATCTACATTAATTTATCCAATATTTTTTATGAGTAAAAATTAATTTTATTATTTTAAAAATTCAAAATTTAATATTTTCATCATTTTTAAATTAAAGTACACTGTATCTAATTAACAAATAATTTAAATAATAAATTATATAATTTAATTAATTTCGGTTAATAAATTAAAATACTAGTTTAAATATTTTTAATTAAATGTATTTTTATGTTTTTTAGTTTCAATTTACTATAAATATTATTTTATTGTTGTTTTTATACTATACTATATTTTGTATATAAAATTATTTACTTAATTATTTATAAATTGTTTAACTTAAATTAATTATATACTCAAATACTTTATGATTATTATATAATGTTAAATATTATAATATGTAATTTTTATTTGATGATATTACACAACACGTAATGTTTTAATAATAACATAAACTTAAATGAATGTCTACAATTTCAAGTATACTACTAGTAATTAATGTATATAAATATCTGTAATAATAATAATCTTATTTTAATATGAGTTAACTATAGAAATGGTAGAAAACAGATAAGCTTTAAGTTTAACAATCAATGGTATGAGTGAAATGACGGTCACATATCGGTAACTATCTATAAAATGCTTGACGAAGACAAATGATTCATTAAATCAGTAACAGCTGTTCCTCTACAGCATAGTTACCCTACATTTGATTAGTCTATATATTGTATTTCGTTGTGCTATATATTGGATTCAATAGAGAGCTGATGGGTATAGCAATGAGTAAACAGAATTTTGTCTCTAATATATGGTATGCATGACTGTGTGTTTGAGTCTCAATCATCCCAATTGTGTTGACTCTCTCATACACTCCCATACAATATCATTGATAAGTTTGCTTACAATGTTTGGCACTCATTGATGACAAACCCCTCTTTCCCATAGTTATTATATAAAGTATTTAAAGTGTAATACAAACACAATTCATTGTCTACTAAATTATCAGTTTTCCTCATACTTTTTCAGTAAATTATTTTTTGTAATTTTTAATACAATCAGATAAAGTTAAATATTAAATTATATATGAGTATGATTTATGTTTATTATAACATTTATAAACTATTAATATTGGAAAACTATTTAGATATTGCACTTTCATCTAATTGCTAAATAATTATAGCTTTATTGTATATAATGATAATAATTTAAAATTTTCTATATATACTAAAATTTGTTGTCATCTATTAAAGCTACTTATTTGTAACAAAAAAAAATCTTTTGATAGTTATTTGCCAATACTTTGAGTAATCTATTAAAGATTTAAAGCATTTTTTCTTGAAACTTGATCTTTGGATTAGAATCTTTGATTATATAACAAATATATATTTAAACTATTAATATATATATATATATATATTTATATATTAAATATTGTATTGTATATTTTGTGTTTGCGTATATTATACGTTTTATTTACATTAAAATAAATTATAAAAACTAAATAAATTTATATTAAAACAACACATTTTTCATTAATTTTATGTAAAAATTATCATCAAATATAAATTTTATTAATTTTGTATTAATTTAATATTTTCAATTAACATTCTTTAAAATTTTGTTATTATCTAAGTTTAATTTTGATATATATAATTTAACTTTAGAAATTTAATGTATATATATTAAATAGTTACATTAATAAAAATAACATAACTTGAAATTCTAAAAAAATGTAACAATTTTTAAAACATTAAACTGTCAGAAATATTATAAAAGTTTTTATTGTTTAATATTTAAACAAAACGTTGTGCACATTAACACATGGCTTATACATTGTATACAAATTGTTGAGAGAAAGTATAGAGAATATTCATGCGATAGTCTCTCAAATAGATAAACATTTGACGAAACATCTTATCAGTAAAACGAGTCGTTTATGTATTACTTTTTAAGCGCCTTTAGTTAGTAAAGAGAARAAGCAATAAAAATGTTGTTTGCCTTAAAGCACATCACATATTCTCATAAGAGTATTAGTATTACTACTATTTCCTAAATATCAATACTATTTTTACAGTTAAGCATAAAGTAGATTAAAATTTTGAGAGACATTCATAACTTAAACCACAAGCACTAGGAATTGAAAAAGACTCATAGACTACTAATAGTCTACTATACACTATATAAAATTTACAATAACATAGTATACCGTATCTCAATAGTGTACTGGTATACACTGTATACTATACAGTATATATTTTTTTATATGTTATTTATAACTTATAATGCATAATAAAATGCATAAATAAATATAAGAGTTTGTATAAAATAAAAGCTAATAAAAAATCTTTCGGATAGTAAAGAAAATAAATATATTTAAAAAGATTGTTTTTGAAGCCAACACTGTATTTAACACAATATATAGTATAAAGTGATGAAAGCTTTTATATATTGTCGGATTGTTGTGTCTCTTGTCTTAAATATATTGGATAACTAATATCATACTTAATAATAGTTTAAAAATTTTTGCATTATTTTAAACTTAAATTTAGCTTATTTTTGTAATATAAGCACATTTTCATAACTCAATCTGACTTAACAAATACTATGAAAATTATTTTTAACACTAAACCTAATTTATTTTTTAACAAAATTTTTAAAAAATTTATTATTTATATAATCTGTTTATGTTATTATTATTATTTTACTATTATTTTCTGTATATTTTATTATTATTTATTGTATAGTTACTACAAATTAACGTAATCTATAAAATTAATATTTATTTCTTAAATAATAATTAAATTTTATGTCAAATATAAGTCATAATCAATTTTGCAATGTTATTGTTATTATTTACTGTCGTTTATATAAAGGATTTTAATGTAAAATGCAATGAACAATGATTTAACACAATTTTTAACATTTTTTTTAATTATGCGATAGACAAACATAAGGCTTTTATAATTTCATCAGTCATTCATTTACTAGTATATCATTAAATACTGTACTATAATAATGATAATATAGCAGCAATTAATTTAAATGAGTGACATTATATTTGATTATATTTGAATTTATTTTATAGCATGTTTCACACAGAATACTAAATTTAATAAATAAAAAGCAAACAATAGTTAAATAATTATCTATAAATTTATAATCTTTAATGTTGTATAACATAAAATATATTAAAAATATAATATAAAATTTTGTTCATTCTATTAAAAAACATTTTTATAATAATTATTAAATGAAAAACTTACCTTTATATAATATTTAACATAAAAATCGTKTATCATATTAATATTTTTTTGCATAAAATGACTTAAACCAGAATAACTCACATTATATAATAAATATCAATAGTTGGCTAAAATATTTTCAGTGAATAATTCATATAATAATAGTAGTGATCGTAGTTATAAAATATCGCATAAAGATTGTTAAAATGCTAGACTAAAAGTATAATAAAATATAATAAATATAATGAAAGAGTATACAATACTAAGCTTTTTTTGCTATATTTATTAGTGACTTATTTTCATAAAGATTTTTTCTATCTATTGTACTTTAGATAATTGTATGCCAACATTAGTTTTATTGTGTTTTAATCGACCGAAAGATTTTATTTATAATAATACATAAAGATTGAAATAAGGATTTAAAATTAAGTCATTGGTTTATAATTTTTTAATAATTTCAAATTTGACAACCTGGATTATTATTCTGATTATAATTTATATAATTTAAAATAATTTTTAGTAACTTGATAATAATTATTTATATTAAATATT